TAGGCAGTTTTGTAAAAATCGCCATAAATTGTAGAAAAATCGTATGGAGATGTGCAAGTAGCCATTTTAAAGCTAAAAACTTGAACTATTTGCACCTTGTACAGTTTTGAAAACAAAAATGTGTAAGATGCCCAAAACAGTCCGTGAATGGAGTTGAACTTTTCTGATGAAGGCTGTTAGAAAACTTTTGATAGGTTCTTAGTGTTTTAACTTGTATTCACCCCCTGAAAACTTGAGAAATCATGAAAATGTAGGGGTATGAACTCACCTTGAGTGATTTCAGTAGATGATTGTTGAAGAATGGAAGTGTTTAATTCAAGAACACTTGGAGATGCCTTGAAGGTTTTCGAGAATCTAACATCATAGTTAGGGAGTTTGTGTAAGCAACCAAAGATTTGAGTAGAATGAAGTGAAATAATAATAGGGAGGATGAATTTTTACTTACTAAGTGTGGAAGAACACTTGAATCCAGCCTTGGATCTCGAAAATTTGTGTAGAAGAGTTTGAGAGAAAAAGTGATGTTTGTTACTTAGTGGAATGAGAGAAATGAGAGAAAATGAGGAGTGTGGTTGATTGTTCCAGCTCTAAAACGTGGGAGTGAGTGAAATTTGAGTGTAAGGGAACATTGAAGTGACATAGGTAAGGTGGGGAGGTATGGCTGGTCATAGAGTGGGTGTGGGGTGGTTGCTTGTGACTTTGATTTTTTTTTTTTTTTTAACTTGCAAGGCACAATGGAATATATTACTCCTATAAAGGAAATTGACTCAATCAAGGACGATTTCACAATTAAAGTTCGGATCATACGTCTTTGGACTCAAAAGTCAAGAACAATGTCTTATAATTGTCTATATCCCATTTTTAGTTTAATTTTCTAAATATATGTGTGGTTGTCTATGTGTGTGTATCTCTTTAAAAATTCTGCAATTTCATCATTTTATGACCCCCATTTGCGAAGTTGAGTATTTATTTCCAAAAATGCGAAACTCCAGGGACAATATTTGAAATCTTCTGTTTTCTTCCCCAATTCGCATTCTACTGTGAAATACTTCGCATCTTCATTCTTACACCCTTCGCATCCCTTCGCATTAATCACCTTCGCATTTTAACCTAATTAATCAAATGCGATTCACAAAATTTTTCATTCCAGATGCGAACACAGTTTAGTTCTTGAACTCTAAACTTGCGAAATCAAAATTTTCATATGTTGAACCCATATGCGAATATTAACCCAATTGACTTCAAATTGATTCATAGATGCGAACACTCGATTGTTTTACTTTCGCAAAATGAGCATCAACAACTCCACAATCGAGTTTTTAAATTCTTGCAAACAACAATTTCATAGTCCTTGACTTCGCGTTTTTCTTCACGAATCATCCCTCAATCATCAATCCAATTGCGAATCAAAAACTCATATGTTCTTGCTTTATCGATTCATCGACTACACTCATACAAATGCGAACAATACTCAATTTCAAAATCGATTGAAACTTATAGCAAAGCTAAATCCAACTTCGCATTCAAAGCAGTGTTATTGATTGCATTCATGAAATACTAACAAGATAATATATTATAATACAAATATACATATTTTAGGTGGTGAAATCGTAACAGCCTAACAATTTGGTATGCAACTTTATTAAATCAATAAAAAAAGTTATGCAAATTGGAAAAATAAATAAAAATATATCTTTTGTTGTTTTAATTAAGGAAATAAATATTTTATATGAATACTCACCAGGAAAAACGCATATTATACATTCCCGATGAGTATGCAACATGGTTTTCATCAGTTTAATTCATTGATTAGTACGAAGGCTTAGGAAAATTTTAACACAAACTTTTCTCCTGTGATGTTTTCCCATTAACATAGCAAGTTATACAATACGAACATAACACTAACCCTAATACACAAGGTTTAATAGAGTTGACCGGCTTGACTTGATGACTTGACTTGACTCAAGATTGACGATTGTCACACGTACACACTGTTGATGTTTTGAGATCTTGGGGATTTTATGATTGTATTTTGATATGAAATTTGGAATAATTATATTTGGTTGAAATAAATCACTTTATTTTAAATGAAAATTTTGTTTGAAAATTTGCGTTGTTACACTTATGCAGGGCGTTCGCGCATAGACTCCAAGAACCCGCCATTAAGCACTTAATGCTTAAGCCATGCTATCCAAACTTAGATCCAAGCTATCTAGGACCTCTAGAATCATAAATTCACGGACTTGATGACTTTTGTAATGCCCGTAGATCCGGGCTAGTCAATTTAGAGATAATAGGGGTTAAAAACGACTTTTCGACAAAAGATTATTTAGAATAAATAATATTAACCAAGTTTTAGAAGATTTTTCAAGGGTTCCGTACATATAAAGAGCGCTAAAATCCAAGTTATAACGAAGAAGCTATGACCCGTCGAAGTTTCACGATGGAACCGATATGGCACCGGGAAGACGTAAATATTGAATTTATGATAGCGCGACTTTTAGCCTTAGTGATCTAAATAAAAGTCATAGAATATGTTAACCTGAGAGCGTCCATAAAAAGAACGCCCCAATCTGACTTCGTATGAGGAAGTTATGATTTTTCTAAGATTAGGCTTAGCAGTGCACGACCCGAAATTCGAATTTTAGTTCGACCGGTTTTTGGCTTACGCGACGTAAATTTGAGTTGAATATCTCATTAATAAGAACTCAACGGTAAAAAGACAGGAGAAAACAGAGTCCGTGTGAAGGAGTTGCGAATTCTTCGCGGTCATTTAACAGCCTAAACTCCTCCTACTATTAAATTTAAGGTCGGTCGAGAATTAGATGACGGAGTCAAAATGAAAGTTGTAGATCTTATTTTTACCTACGCGTGGATATAAAGAACGTCCAAAGTGGAGCTCGTATGCAAAAGTTATGAATTTTTAAAAATCAGCTCATTTCCACCCTGTGTGCGATGCCACGTGTCAGCACCACGCTGTGCCTGACTGTACCCAGCTGGCCACAACGTGGGAGCCTCTTCAGCTTCCTATAAATAGAGATGCCCCTCTCCTTCATTTCCCAGACCTTAACCCTTCATTCCTCTCTTTATACTCTCTCTCTAAGCCCTAAAACCCCCAAAAAAGCCTAGGGAACCCCGTAGCACGAGGCGGAAGCCCCGGAGCGCCTGACGAATCTGAAAAGAAGAGCCTCCGGCTCAGAAACTCTGCTCCGGTGGAGCCCAGTTTCCAAGGAAATCTGCTGTAAGTGAGCTATACCTACCATATCTTTAGTATAGCTTATGTTTTAATATAGTAACGTTATTAGGAACTTATAATAAGTACTTCGGCTATTGTTATGGGTTATATAAGTATTTTTTTAATGCTTATATAATAATAATAATAGCTAGACTATTAATTAGTCACGATAAACATTAGACTAAACCCTGGTGGTATTGATACTAGGTTTTGTCAAGGGAAAATTGTTTTGAGATAACGAAGTGTTGTCCGAGTACCGAGTCACCACCTTACCAGGTGAGTGCATAGTTACTTTCATCTTACACATAGATATGAAGTATTTTATATAAATTACGTGTTGTGTGTGCATATTATCTGTATATATACTTGCTATCTATGCTGGATGAATGATTTTATACATGTTTTAAATGATTTAAACTGTATATGTATTTTATATCTACAAAATGTGTTGGGTAAAATATGGGTAGATGTAATAGTTGTTGTGTGACCAAATAAAATAATGAGAGGCTCGTTATAGATGTTATTGATGATCCAATCATCTAGCGGAGTATAGATGACGACCACGGACTATTCTAGACAGTCCAGTGGAACGCTAGCAGGCTCGCAACCTGTAGGTGTTTATTTGAACTGTGTGCTTACCAGCAGTACTCCATCCCCCACATGGTTGCCTTATTTGAAATGAATTGCTGAGGAACCCCCGAAGCATGTGTTGTCACCCCGATGAAAGTCCTTAGACTAGGTCCCTTGTGTTAGATGTTTTAGGGACGTAAAGTGAGGATAATAGGAACGGGTAATCGGGTTTGTTTGGTTTGATAAAGTTAATAAACTTATTTATTGTGGGTTGAAAACCCTATGTACTCACCAGGTTTCCCAACCTGACCCACTCAATTGATTTATATCACACTGAGAGATTAAGGAGATATAAATCATTAGTGATAATGAATGTAAGTTCTGTTTATACTTATGTTTCTGTATTGACGATGACATCCCAAATGTTTTAAAATGAATAAAAATACTTTTCTTTGGAAATGCTTTGATAACGTATTTATCATGTTTTACTGGGAACAAATTCCACAACGTTTTTATTAAAAGATGTATTCTGACTTTTATAAAGCATAAACAAAATCGGTCTTTTCTGGTCGTGAAAATGGGGATGTCACAACTTTACATGCCCCCAAAAGTCCCAATCTCAAGAAATAGCAATCAACTTCCATAAAGATGGCCATAAATCTTGCATGAACCCATTAAGACCTTTAACTTTTCTATCTTAGGGACTCAGATAGCACCAATGGTGGCAACCCTAAGTCTAGAAACGGATTTGGACCATAAAAATCCATTATTGGAACCAAAAAGGTCCAAAACACCATTACTATAGTTCCAAGCATGCATGAGGCAAGTTGTGAGCTTTTTACCTTAAATGACTATTAGATGACGTTGATATCTCAGATCTTTAAGCTCAAGCTACTCAAGTTCTTCTTCACTAACTTCTTCTTTCTCCTTCCAAGCTTCAACCCACCAAGATGGGCTTCACGAGATCAAAAATCACACAAAGATGAGGAATGCTAGGCTTTCTAGGGTTTTTGGGTCAAGAAGGCTGGTAAGGAGGCTGAGGTATGGGATATAATGTTCTTTATATAGGTCCAAAGGTGAAATTGTTATTAGATCCAAAGGTGAAATTGTTATCAAAGTTGAAATTGTTATCCATTCGACACTCTTGCTTTCATCCAAGTTATGATGTCAATGTATAGTTTTACATTTAACAGTAAACATGAGGCTTTTGGTTGGTTTTCCAACTAATGATTTGGATGAGACAAAAGCATTTTCTGAATGGATTCTTAAAATGGGTGAAGGTAATATTGGTGGTCCTAATGATGGTAATGCTGAAGTTGAATTTCCAGAAGACGTTATCGTTCGATTTACAAACGACCATATTCATTAAGTTGTATCCACCATTTATCCGTCTTTTGAAAACCATATTGATGATCCATCATATTTTCAAGATAAAACTATTTTAGTCCCTACAAATGAAGATGCCGATGCTATCAATGATTACATGTTAGAATTGATGAAAAATGAAGAGAAAACTTATCTGAGTTCAGATTCTTTATATGAGACATAGTCAACAGATTGTTTGAAGAATCGGTTTACTCTCCGGATGTATCGAATGATTTTAATGCATCTAGAATTCTCAACTATAAAGAGATTATTTAACGATTATAGATATTCAGACATTTCATTTTATTTTTTAAACTTTTCAATATAATCAATAACACGAAATCTGTTTCTATTGCTTTATCTATTTTTTTTTTTAATTATTGTTTTGATTTTTTATGAGTTTATATGCAGGTCATAGTTTAGTTATTATTATAAATAAAAAGTAAAAATAAAATTAAAAATTAAATACATCATCTACTCCGTACCGTTCTTTCTAAAATTAAAAACAGAAAAGGTGTCAATGTTTGTTATTTATACTTTATTTGTTGGGGACGTATAAAATCAGGTTGCCTTTACCTTTCTGCCAGCTTACAAAAAGAGGATTAAAAAGAAGGGAAGCCTAAAGCTTTCTTGTCTTTCTTCACTTTTGCGCCACTTTTGTTTTCGTATACCGACAACTTCAAACTTGTTACGTCTCTTGGCTGATACGAAATTCCTCTTTCAGAAACCCACCGACGATCTTCTCAATATGGCAACGACTGGCCCCAACAATCTCAATGCAAAATTGGTAATTTGAACTCCCACCATCTTCATCACTGATTCTTCATTTTGATTTCTCAATTCCATTTCCACTTGTTTTCGTTTTGTTTCATGTGTCGAGTTGCGATGAATTTTTAGGTTTTGCTAGGAGACATGGGAGCTGGTAAATCCAGTCTCGTTTTACGGTTTGTCAAAGGCCAATTTCTGGAATTCCAGGTACAATTTTCGTTGATTGACTTCCGTTTTTTTGAGTTTCAGTATCTAGGGTTTGAATTTGATCGTCGATTTCATCTGTATGATTGTTTTGGTTAAAGGAATCGACCATCGGTGCAGCGTTCTTTTCGCAAACTTTAGCCGTAAACGACGCGACAGTGAAATTTGAGATTTGGGATACGGCGGGTCAAGAAAGGTATCATAGTTTGGCTCCTATGTACTACAGAGGCGCTGCTGCGGCCATTATTGTCTACGATATCACCAGCATGGTATTTTTTTCCTCGCTAGTCTCCATGCATATAGATATTTCAAGCTGAACTTATAAGAATCGTATTTGTAGATGGTTGGACTTTTTGATATTGGACTAGGAGTAGTTATTGCAGAATTTGGGAGTTTATAGGTGTAATGTTTCACTTAGTTACAGTTGTAGCTGGTAGATGATGTCATTGAGTATTGAGAAGTTTTCAGTAACCCTAATGTCATGCTGTAGATTCAATATTTTCTTGGTATTTTAGTATTATGGAACAATTTAGTCATTCTTGGTTGAGATGTGCAACTACACAATGCTTGCTTAAATACTGTAACATACTCAGTTCTGTTCTCTTTTCAAGTAATTTTAGCTGAATCCATTTGCTATTTATTTGTCCTGTTATAGGAATCATTTACACGAGCCAAAAAGTGGGTGCAAGAACTTCAGAAACAAGGTGAGTTGACATTATCTAAATTGTTTCAGATAACTAGAACTGTAGATTGATGTGAAAAAAAGGGCTACAATCATCCTCAAATCTTAAATAAGATTCTATGGTTTATAATCCAGGTAATCCTAATATGGTTATGGCACTTGCTGGAAATAAAGCTGATCTAGAAGAAAAGAGGAACGTGACAGCTGAAGTATGTATCAATACCATCCATTATTTTCTAGAATTGAATAAAATTAGCATCATTAAAAGTTCAATTCACATAACTGTTGCTTGTTATTTAACTTGTAGTTTCTTACAAACAAGGCCTTGACCATTATCCATTGGTCAACCTATCTGAATAAATTTGGTTCCATTAGTCTGAATTAGTAGATGTCATGTAATAATTCTCATTTCAGGAGGCACGTGTGTATGCTGAAGAGAATGGTCTTTTCTTCATGGAGACATCTGCCAAAACTGCCACCAATGTTAACGATATATTTCATGAAATAGGTATGCATTTTTTTTTAAAGGAAAATTTGGATTATTCATTCTACTTTCATATTTATTTTCTTATTATATCAGTGAAATTTGCTTTGTATTTACAAATGAATGAAAGTACATTGCTATTTCTTGCAACAGCTAAGAAACTGCCTAGGGCTCAGTCCACCCAGAATCCAGCTGGGATGGTTCTTGTTGACAGACCAACTCAAGGTGCCCGTGTTGGTGGGCCGACTGCCACATGCTGTTCATAAATCATAAGTAATGTCTCAAATCTTTTTTTTTTTTTTTTTTTATGTTGTGAAGTTTGTTAAGAATGGTAATGAAAGCTCAGACATTCGATTATTTTTGGTTAGATATTGGCCAATCGGAGGCATTGAAGAACATCAATTGTTGCATTGGATATGTGATGTGTTAGATTTTTATCAAGGGAGTCATGTATACTTTGTAGCTGTAATTAAGAGACTCAACAATAATTCCATGTAGTTGAATCATGTGTGTGTATATGTGGTGGCTTTTCTTTTGCGTGTTTGAAACTTGTAAATGCTAAGCTGATCATGCAAAGTGATTTGTCTATGGTTACTTTTTGTTAACAAGATAATGTTGTGTTGATCTCATTTTGTTGTGTGCGACCTCATTTGATATGGATGAAATGTCAATGAGATGGAAATAGGTAAAATGTACTTGATTGGAATTTTGTGCAACTTTATATGTATGTGTAAACTAATTCAATCCAGGATTAGTATGAGCTAACGCCCAAAATTTTAGAATAAAAGTATATTAATGGGTAAATATCACTGTAACCCTATGAAGTTTCACCTTGTGGTTTAAATGGTCCCTTTTGTTTTTGTTTTTTTTTTTTTTTTTTTGTTTTTTTTGTTTTTTTTTTTTTTTTGCATTTAAGGGGTATAAACTCAAGTTTTACCGGATAAAAAGATCCCTTTACCTGTTTTAACAGGTTTCAAACCCAAACCATTGTCCACGAATGTGTTGACTATGAGTCAACTGGTAGTACACATCATCGAGTTGGGTTAACTCACTTGCTTGGGCACTAAGGGTCACTGTGGACCTAAGATATATAAAAGAGATGGTTTATTTAGTCAAACCCTAAAACAATATACCCACTTTTGGGCAAACATCTAACGACAAAGAACGACACAATCACTTTCACGAGATTCACAAGATGGCTACCCCACCATTGTCCTCAGATTCGATTTCCTTAAATTCTCGAGACCGGATGAACTTCAGCGACATTCACACAATTTTCTGTGATTGTGGGGAGAAAATGGCGGAAACACAGGTCGAGGTGAATCGCATTAAGGAGGAAATGGGTCGTGATTCTGTGATATCGAGGGTGGAAATGGTTGCTGTGCAGCGGCGATTAGACCGTAACGAGAAGAAGCTGCACGCTATGACTGTTGTGGTGGTGGCACTTGTGATGGTGACGATCAGTTTGATGATTGAGAAAATACACGCCCTAATCTTATAGTGAGTTCGGTGGTGTTTGTTTTGATGTTATTAGATTATCTATGTTTTATGTGTTTATGTGCAATGTAGTCGATTAGGGTGAATGTGGATCGTTGTGTAACTCCTGAAATCGTTTTTGGTGTAATTGTTTGGTAGTCGATGATGAAGTCCTATGTTAGCAGGCATTTTGTATAACTGAATATGTAATCCATGTTTATTATAATGGAAATCATGACATTAGTTAATGAGGACCTTGGGGGTATTTTTGTCTTTTCAAATTGAAGTCTCCCATATATATACCAATCACATAGATAGATCCGTTACCATTTGGGACCCTTACCATTTTATCATTGTTTTTTGCTTGGCTCTTCTTTTGTTGGAAATCTGAGGTATGAAGATGGAACGAACCATGAAATCAGTGGAATGTTGTTATGGGTATGAGGCTATAATACAAACCTCAACCACACGTAGCAACCCAGAACGACCCTTTTATGCTTGCCCCAAAAGGTAAATAATGTTTGTATCTTTTCCTAAACTTTAGCCCTAGATTATAAAAGGGTTTTCTGCACAATTTGTTTCTTACTCAATTTCTAATTTCAGGATCCACGAAAAGGGTTTATTTGTTGGGTTGATGAAGTTGATAGCACAAGTGGAGAGGCTATCATGATTGCAAGTTTACTTAGGTCGAATAAGAAGCTTAAGTCCGATCTTAGGAAGATGAAAATTTGTGTATTTCTTAGTTGGGCTATTTTCTTTGTTATCATTGTGTACAAGTTGTAATGGTTTCCTGATGCTTTGTAATAAGGGTATTCTTGGAAATTAATGAAATTGCTCAATGTTGTAACAGTATTAGGGTACCCAACAGTATTATTATAGCAAATTTGCATGCTCGGTTTTTTGATTTAAAATTACTGCAATGGACCACTATAGGGACCACATAGATGTATAATAATACATTAAGTTGTAAATATATCCATGCACGTTCGTTGCATAACCATAACATTTGTAAACATCCATACAAACAAATTTGGTTGCATAACCATAACATTTGTAAACATCCATACAAAAAAATTTGGTAAACATCCATACAAACAAATTTGGTAATACCAGACAAGTTACTAATTCATACAAACATCCATATATAAATCCATACAAACATCCACATATAAATCCATACAAACATCCACATATACTAATTCAAACCCATTCAAATAACATGCAACAAACATCATCCATACAAACATCCACATATACTAATTAAAACCCATTCAAATAACATGCAACAAACATCATCCATACAAACATCCACATATACTAATTAAAACCCATTCAAATAACATGAAACAAACATCATCCATATAAATCCGTATGTCAAATAACATTAACAGACACAAACAATTGTAAAATAACATGAAACAAACATCCATACACACATCCTTATAGAAATCCAACATCATCCAACTAATTCAACAGAAAATAAACACATTATCCTTAATCTATATTTAGTGGCTTACCACTTGTATTGCCTTCTCCATTTTTTCCTTCAACCCTTTTTGCTAATTTCTTTTTTATAATTCTTTCAGAATATTTCCTTTTCCGTGTAGTCTCTTTTGCTTTTGGTTGTTTTCCATTGCCTCCTTCACCTCCATTACCACCTCCATTTGTTTTTGTTCCACTACCTCCTTCACCTCCATTATCACCAATGTTTGTGTTTCTTCCACTGCCTCCTTCACCTCCTTTTTCTTTCTTTCTCTTGATTACCTTAAGTTTTTTGGGCTTGTCAACTTTAGGACATGTAGCTTTGTTATGTCCAACCTCTTTACACACATTGCATAATTTTTTTCCCCAACCTTTGAGACTGTGTGTCTTGTAGTATTTTCACTTGGGTCCTTTCTTCTATTCACTTTTGGTCTGCCTGGCATTTTTCTCCTTAAAGGTGGTAATGGTGGACTGTAGTCAGTACATGGCCACATATTGCTTCCATCCATCCCATGCATTGGATATTTGTACGTGTTCTTGTACACTAATCCAAAGTACATTGTATCCACATAACTTCCAACATCCCTATTAAGAAATGAAATGGTTTCAATTGAATGCACACAACGATATCCATTTAGTTGCCACACTCTACAGGAGCATGTCTTCTTGTCTAAATCCACCACGTAAGCCTCAACCAAGTTTCTTGTCTCGAACTGGTTTAAGCCAGTTTGTAGAACCTGCCAGTATCTACAAACATTGGTTGGAAGTTAGTGAATGTTTATATTAACCAAAGTAAACACATTACATTACATTTACCTTTGAGCTTTTTTCAGTTGATTAAGTAAGGTTGTAATTGCTAGAAACGGTTTAAAATCAGGCCATGAACTACCTTTGCTGCTCAAATTAAACTACCTTTCCATCACATACAATCTAATTTCCTCTAACATTGTGATAATTGGTTTTTTCCTTGCATCTCTTATGACATTGTTAAAACTTTATGACAATCCATTTTCTACTGCATCACACATCCTACCTTCCTGAAATCTCCATAAGATATTCAAAGCCTGCAGGGTTTAGGAGTTGGATTTCTTTCATTACTGCATTAAACAAAGGTTCAGTAGATGCTTTGAATGCTCTCCAAAACAACCACTCATAATGTACTCTAGTGAATCTTTTCCGAAAGTTGGCTACAATATGCCTTGCACACTGCCTATGTTCTACATTAGGCAAAATGTATTCCACAACCTCCAACAAACCCTACACCATAAAGGGAAATTATTAAAACAAACAACTACATTTAGATTAAAATGTTACAATATGGTACTAAACATACCTTATGTTGATCCGACATCAAAGTAATACAAAAACCATTTTCCATTCCAAGATCATCCCTTAAATTCTCCAAAAACTATTTCTAATTCTCTTTGTTTTCTACACAAACAACTGCCCATGCAATTGTGAATATATGATTATTAGCATCCCTTCCAACTGCACATATTAACTCTCCAGTACATAAGCCTTTCAAGAAACACCCATCCAGATTTGTTACTCTTCTGCAACTACCTCTCCATCCTTGCTTTAGTGCTTCAAAACATACGTAAAAGTTACTAAAATAAGTCTTCCCATCAGGCATACTATTGACACCAATCTTCACAGTTGATCCAGGGTTTGATCTTCTTATCTCTTCACTATAAGACCAAAGCTTTGAATAATGCTCAACAAGTGTGCCTTCAATGAGCTCAATTGCATGTTTCTTTGCTCTCCTACACTGTCCCATACTCACATCTATTCCAAAAGTTTGTTTCACCTCTTCTTTAAGCATCCTAACACTCATTTTTTTCTTATTTAAGAACTCAGTTGAAAAGTGGCTGCCAATCCAAGCATAGCTAACAATAGATCCCAATTTGAAATTTCTTGCACAATTGTGCTCATCTATTAGTGACTTAATCTGGAAAGATTGTTTTTCACTCATCCATGAGGCCCACAGTCTAAACTTACACTGTCCAAAACAACATTTCACTAAAAGTCTCCTACTATCATTTTTCTTGTAGCACAACTGATAGCCATTAGCAACAACATAATTACATAACATATGTTTTAAATGTTTTGGACTTTCAAATATCATACCCATGACAAGTTTTTGTTTTTTCCAGTTAACATTGGCATTAGAAGTTGTTACTTCATCAACATTTCTTTCATTGTGGTCTATACCAAAGTAATCGTCCTCATGAGGAGGACTTGATGGGATTGACTGCACCTTGGGGCATAACTTGCTCAAAAAAACATCATTTATGGTTTTATTCATAGGAGTGGAATCAAAATGTACTTGGTCATCATGAACATTACCTTGCAAGTCGTCAATGTCGTTATGAAAATCTCCCATGCTATGAAACTCATTATTTCCCCTACACCCGACTGCTTGTCTTCAGGACTGCATACTTCTGCTTCGTCATCCACTATCCATTGATGAACATAAACACCAAGATGATCCATGTGCACTTGGATTACACATCCACTGTCGTACCCTACTTGAATAAACTCCTGGTAGTCTTTCTCGATGGCTATTATCCTCAATCCATTAGGAAATTGTAAATCGGGTATGCAAAAGTACACATTCACAAATTCCTCGTTTGCGAATATTTGAATAAACAAGAGAAATTCCTTCAAGTCCATTCCTGCAAAATCAACATCCTCAAAATGTTGCTCCGCTCCATCTGAGTAACTTATTGCAGGGTACCTAGTAAAAAACCCAGCAAAATGAAGACTGACCTTCATAAACACCACCATAGCACCGATTTGGAGAGAAGCAGTTAAAGAAGAAGAAAGGGGAAGAAGAAACAAACGAGTCAATATGTCATTTAAATAAGGGTTAAGTAGGTAAAAGCTTATTTATTGACATGGCAACGGAAATATCTACTTGGCAATTTTTTAATGACGTGTCACTTTTCTCTCTCCTGACTAGGATTACTTTTACCGGCTGACCCCTTGGATTTCTAAAAAAAGGACTTTAAAATTCGGTAAAACTTGAGTTTATACCCCTTAAATGCAAAAAAAAAAAAAAAAAAAAAACGAAAGGGACCATTTAAACCAAAAGGTGAAACTTCATAGGGCTACAGTGACATTTACCCTATATTAATACGTGCCACAACTATATCAAAAGTATGTAATGGCAGAGCTAGGTGTTGATACATCAAACAACAAAAGTCATCCAAAGATATAATCTTAAAGTGCCAGTGTCATCTATAAGCTAAGCTATTGTATTGCCCTTGTTGTTGATACTTGCATCTATAACATGAGTCATAGAAGAATCTGTAAATTGTAAAACTAAGTAACCTTTAGGTTTTTGCATTCAAATACATCACACTATGTACAATCATAACATAATAGATGCATATTGTAAACAATAGTTAAAGCTCTTAAGCAAGGGAAAACTAATGCCTACTTATGCCCTTATACTATCCCCAGGTGAGGTATCCTCATATCTAGATAGTCACTTTTGAGTTTCATTTGAGGACTATCCTCATCAATGGCTATTCTCCATAG